GTGAGGTCAAGTTTAGACTCGCAGGAATGCTGCTACTTTCATGATGTGTGTAAGAAATGCAGCCAGGCAGCGGATGAACCTGTTCTAGCCCTGGGTACACGATCCCCTCTCTGCAGAAGCTTCAGCTAGGACTTGGGACAAATCACTTCTGCTCAGAGCCACTATTTCCCTACTTTGGTATGGATGGGGCAAGTGTTCCGATTCTGGGAGGGGGAAAAACACACTTCTCCATTGCCAGGGTGGACATTCAAGGTCTGAGATCACTCCCTCTGGCCACCTGCTTGTATTCAATGCTAAGTGAGAACGTCAGAGGACTCTAGGCTCAAAGCCTTCACTGCAGCAGAAGTTATCCAGGACCTTGTTTCAGATCAGAAATGTGTTTCCCTGAATCTGCATGAGTGGTGGCTGATGTTTTGTGATGGCTGGGCAGGTGGGCTCCTGCAGAACTTGGCTCAGAATATGGTGCCAGAGGATGAAACAAGTCAGCAGTTGTCTGTTCAACTGGCTGAGTGGAGAGCAAGTGGATGCTAGCACAAAACCTGATGTCATCTCAAAGGAATGCCTTGGTTTCACAGTATGTGAAGGTCCTTCCCCAGAAGGAGAGCACCAAATGCCATATATTGGGTACATGATATATAAGATGCAATGGCAGAAGCCTGAGCTAGAGTCCCCTTTCCTTTGCCCTAGGAAAGGCAGAGGTATTTGCCAGGAGCCAGCTGTGGCCATAGCCAGGCTGTCCGAGAACTGCAGTCTCCTGCATTCTGCAGACTGATTGTGTAGGGACCATGTGCCAAGGAAAAATAGGGGGAGTGAGCACACACATCTATCCACAGGCCCTGTCTTGCACCCTTCTGCACAGTAGCATTACTGGAACCATTTCAGGTCCACCATGTCTAAGCAGCAGCCCATCTTCTCTGCCCTGTGAGACAGCCAGGTTTTTCAAGAAGGGAACTGAGGCAGAGACATCACATCCCTTGGCCTCAGCAGAGCCTGTAGCAGGACAGAAATATAGTTCTGAAGAGTAAGGCACCTCCCTTTTGTCTCCCTGTCCAGGTAGTGGCTGTCTTGCTGTCTAGGACTGAAAACCCTTGCTGTGAACTCCAGACTCAGCCCTGACAGTTCGTTACAGTCTTTGTCTGCTCAGATCTCTGATCAAATTTCTGAAGGCAAAGAAAATGCTTCTTAACTGAGCAACCCCTACATAAAGGTGTCTACCTTCGTATAGCGAGGTACAGCTGCGGAGATTGAAGTGTTCCATGGAGGGTTCCCAGCCTACCTGAGTCAAGAGCAACTTGCTAGCCAGGGACCATTGTGTTGGAGTATCTATGGAGCAGGCACGGAACACCCCCCTCCTGGATAGGAGGTGGAGGGAGGAGAGCAACTCTTGACAAAGCTTGTTTGTGCATCTACAGAAGGCTTTTAAAAGACAGTAGCAAGAGATGAAGATAAGGTAGCGGTGATAATAAAACCAGCCTGGGCCATTCTGGAGTTGGAAAGGCCTAATTTCTGCCTGCCAAGGATCCTGCCTGTCCCTGCTATCCCAGGGCCCAAAAGCAGGAAGGCTGGTGATAAGGGCTGCCTCCTCCAGGCAGGGAGGAAGGGACTTATGTGGCCTTATTAAGACTAACTCGGGTGATGTTACTGCTGTCTGGTATTTTGCTTAAAGCACCAGCCCCTGGATTCATGCAGGAATCTCACCTTCCATTAAAACCTCAGACTAGTAACTTTTAGACATGGTGGATGCACAGAATACTGCCCTTAGGCACAGCAGAGTATTTATTACCTTGGCAGATCTTACGATCTTCAAGGAAATCTTGTGCTGCAAGGATATGCAGGTCATTTCTCATTTTGGGATGCTATTTTATAGCATCTGGATTCAGGATGCACTAAAAGCTGAAACAGCCACTTGAAATACCTGGGGGTCTGGGTGGCATCTGGTACAGTACAAGGACTGCTGGTACTGCCCCATATTCACACAGGAGAACATAGTCCCTGTGTGTGATTTGTTAAACGAGCACGGCTGGAGATAGAAAGAAATTGCTACACACAGAGGATTCTGTAGAAAGGGTTACTTGGACACTCCAAAGCCAGCTCTAACCAACTCACGTAGCAGAACCCAAATGAGGAATTAAAACAGGATTTCCAGGGGAGAGAGAACCTCCAGAAAATGAATGGAAAGTCTGCAAAGTCATAGTAACTCACTCAGCTTTCCAAACAAATCCAGAGGCACCTGGGAGGCTGAGGCAAAGCCCCTGCTTTGCAATCACGGGCACTCCCACCGTGATGGCGTTCAAGAGCTGCAAATTGTGCAGTGCAGCATGCAGATTAGCATGAGCTATTCCTCTTGGCTCCCAAATGCCTGTCTTCTGGCCCAGACCTTATGGCTTTGGGTCTCCTCAGACACTTTCCTGGATACTTTAAAAAACAGGACTGCTGAAGAACCAAACCTGCTGTCTGTTCCTGCTCTCTGCACAGCAACCGCCACAACCATGCTAGCAACAAAGAGGTAGCAGTTGGCCTGCTAAGCCTAACAAGTTAGGGCTGGGATTTTCTTCCAAGGGCTGTGCTAGCCAAGTCAGGCTATAGATCTGGCGGATTTGGAACACGTTACAACAGGGGATTTATGGAACAAAAACATTCCTCTCCTACAGTCTTAATGCTGGTAGCAAGCACCATCCTTAATTGCTCTTCATAAAAGAAGAACAGCCAGCCACTTGTAGGGAGGAGTTAGGTATCCCAGTGCGTGCCAGCTGCTGTGACTGCACCTGATAGTATATGTTGGAAGTCAGATCTACCCTGGACAAAAGTTTGAGGGAGCTGACAGGACCAAATCCTTCCCAGGTGTACACATCCCATTTTGTGTACGCAATGTGTTCAGCACATCTGTGTCCTCCGCCTCCATCAGATGGCACACAGCCAGACAGCGTTTTAGGAAAAAAAAAAAAAAAATTCACCCTGAATGTGAAAATCAAGTTCAAGAGGCTTAGGCACCTCCTTGCTCCCACAGTCAGCAGCCTCTTACTGTAGTTAAATCATTGCCTGTTCAGGAAGTCTTTGGTTAACAATTAACTTGTGGGGGTGAGTGCATTTTCATGCTATGCTTGAATTGTACAGATGTCTGTGACCTGCATGATTCATTTCGGAGTCTTATGGGGTTTTAAGGAATACAGATAATATGCTGCCTGAGCCTCCTTCCTTCATTAACAACTGAACAACTCATTACAAACACAAGTTCATCTCACTAACAGGACTGCAGAAGGGAATTTGTCCCAGTCCATCACGGGACCTTCTAAGGGGAATAGAGATATTTGTCCCAAGCCTCCTAAAAGCCTTGGTTTATACTTGGACCTATAGCATGGTGGACAAAGCACCTCAGTTTGCAAGGGCAGCAGCTGTGGGTCAGGAGGACCATTGGGTCTGGGCGACGCTCACACTGCCTGCCCTGCAGAGCCAGGCACTAACTCATATTCAGCCCCGTTGCAAACTCCCAGCGACCACAACCCAACCCCACTGTACCTAGGATAGCATCTCGAAGCTCCTTTGTGATGATGGGTAGGTCATCAACATCCACAAAGTGCAGGTGCTTCTCAGGAGGCTGGCTGGCAGCAGCAGAGAGTTCCAGGTAACTCCCCCGTCCAGTGCTGACAATGAAGACTGTTACTCCCATGTCCTTCAGGAGCTGCATGGGTTCAGAGATGTCATCAGTGGAGAAACCATCTGTCACCCAAACCAGTACCTTGGGCACATCCGGCCGGGCACCAGCTTCATCACTGAAGAACTTCTCCTTCGCATAGGAGAGCGCTTTGCCTGTGTTAGTGTCGCCCATGAGCTGCCGAGTGTCCCGGATGGCTTGTTGCAGAGTCCCACTAGACAGGTACCGGTCAAAGGGGAACTCCATGGTGGGCATAGTGCTAATGTGGATGATGCTGGCCTGGACATCTTTGGGGCCAAAGGTGAAAGGTTGCACAAGGTCCCACATGAATTCCTTGACCCTGGAAAACTCATAGTAGGAGACGCTGCCAGAGCTGTCCAGCAAGAAGAGGAGGTCCCCCTCTGAATTGGAAATAGATGGCTGGGTACCTAGAAGAGAGGGGGAGGTGCGTTAGTGGAATGATGTGAACCCATGCCTTCACAGGCATCTGCTAGGAAAGCTTGGTTATCTTGTGCCAAATCTCAGAATTCAGTAGGAATTTCGCTGGGTAGAGACCTCAGAATTTGTTCCTTTTTGTTATTATTATTTGCATCTAGTGTGAGGGCTCCTGGGCTTTATTCTCAGTCCTCCTGTCAACTGTCCAGGAACTTCTCACCCCATCTCCCCTCACTGGACAGCTTTGCTTAGACTCATCTGTTTGATTAGAACTGTTCTTTGCAAACACTTTGAGATGCTAACACTCAAGTGTTAGCCAGAGGTCTGCCTGTGATTGTTCACAAAGTAAGTTCTCTCAGCACCTTCTGTTTTAGAGTACATTGCCAAAAAAGCTGTTCCTGTTGTGAACAGAAAACTGGTTCCTAAGTCCTCTGAGGTCCAAGAACCTGAATTAGTTACAGGATCACAAAGAGCAAGAGGAAAAAAGTTCACGAGACCCCACCACCACTCCACTGAATAGCAGGATTGTGACCTGTGTTGGGCTATTTGTCTCCCACTGCTTTCTTTGGCTTCAGTCTCACTTTGGGATGTCACAGCTGCTCAGCCTGACCCAGGCCCTGCCCAAGAGGGTCCCTGCTAGGAGAGAAGCCAAAGCACTGCAGCGGAGCTGGAAAGAGCTCTTGGAGGCACTGCAGGACAGCAGCCTAGTGCTGATCTGCCTGGCCATGGGACCCTCTCAGCAGCACACTTCAAACACACCACCTACCCCACAGGGTTTCAAGCTGGCCAAGGGGGTAAGAGGCATGCAAAGGAACAGTTGGAGCATCTCAGCAATACAGCAGCAGCAGCCCCAAGCACTGGTGGTGTGCTTGGTCCATCGCTGCGAACAACGGCACAATATCCAAGCACGCAAGCGTTGCCGCTGCCACATTCCATGTACGTCGGTCAGCAAAGACTCACAGTGAACAGTCAGCACATCCCAGCCCTGCTGTGTGCAGCTTGCCCTCTGGCTCTTGGCAAAGGCCAACGCTGCGGACAAGTTTGGCCTTTTGGAGCTCGCTCCTTTTACGTGTTCTGCACCTCATCTAGGTCAGTCACCATTCAGCAGAGGTGAGGCTGAAGATGCATCTCACCTAGGTGCTGTGGTGAGCTCTCCAGGAGCAGGGAGAGGACCTCCCCCTGCCTGCACTGGCTCCCTGCTCTCCAGGCTTTGTTGCCTCGTTTGTTTTAAAGTCATGTTTTACACATTTGCAAAGATAAAGACAGCAAGGAGGAGCAATAATTACATTTTTTTCCCCCCCTCCTTTCCATTCACATGCATGATCCCTACTGTTCAAGGAGCTACTTGGACGGCCAGAAACAGACCCCATGTCCCAGAGGCAAAAGGCCAGTCATGGGAGGGGAGAGGCAGGCCAAAAGACTGAAAAACTGGGATGAAATATGCCTGAATTCAGCCTAGTGCCTGACAGCTGAGAAGATACAGGTCCTCATAGAATGAGGGCAGGATGAATGCCTGATATCCTTCGGTCCAAATTCCATCAAGATGCATAACAGGTGGGAGCAGAAAATGCCATTGCAGCAGTGAAGGGAAGTAATTTCCCAGGACACCAACCTCACCTCCTCATTCTTAGGTCCTGCACAAGGACAGGGGGCTGGAACAGGGCAGGGAGCCAACACAGGCAGGGTAGAAGAGATGCCCTGGACCTGACGCTGCAGGAGCAACGGGAGCTCCGGCTCCTGAGCACACCTAGCACTTCCACACTACACCCATGCAGGGTCTGCAAGCACTGCACAGACTTATGAAACCTCATGACAGTCTTTCCAGGCACGTTATAAACCCATTACAGAGAAACTGTAAGGCCAGGGCAGTCGAAAGAGGCAGGAACTCAGGCACAGGAATCAGGGCAGAGTTAAAAGCATGACCCGCAAGTCCTGGATCCTGCTCTCACTGCTGCAGAGAAAAATGCCTCTGAGCTACCTCAGCTTGCACTGACACCTCTTGTTACACAACACCAGGCTGATCCTGAGTACTTTCTGCTCCAAGCTGGAGGTGGACATGTTCCAGGAGCTGGGAACATTCCTCACCAGCCTGAGCCAATGGGTCAGTCATGCCCCGTGCCAGGGAGTAGCCTCTGCCATCCAGAGCTGCTGCTCTGGGCTAATCCGCAGCAGTCCCAAAGAAAGAAGCAAACTGCTGATCGCAAGACCAAGTGCAATGGCCAAGGTCAAGAGCAACTTTTGGGCCTAAAACAACTTACAGGTTTATCCCATCTTATGCTAATGGCAGTGCCTAGAAGAAAAATGAGCTGTATTTGGAAAAGAATGAAATGATAAAGAAACTTAATGAGAAAAACTGCTGGCTCTTCTCTCCCAGGAGAGCTGGCCGATTCTCAGAACTGGCTGCCTCTCAGTTCAAAGGCTACGGTCCACGCAAGACTGGCAGAAAGCTCCCTGATTTATACCACTGTTGGCAGGAAAGTCTGGAGCAGAGGGACTCCTCCCTAGATCGCTTTTAAAAGGCTGGGCTAATTTGTTTTTTTCTTGCTCTTCTGAATACATATTGACCTCCTTTCCCAGACAGTCTTAAGAGCAGCACCTCAAAGGGGCTCCGGGACAAGATGTCTGGGAAAGGGCTGCACAGACCCATTTGTGCAGAAGAATGCACTAAGTCAGGAGGAACATGCTTCTGAGGGCGTGGCCTGGAGTCCCACTCCATTTGACTCATTTTCTTACCATTTCAATTAAACTGCTGTGTGGGAAGCACAAACACATAGAGGACTCCTCCTTCCACCACTCTTAGAGCTTGGGAGATTTACAATAGCCGGAATACCAATGATGAATTTGGAATTCTTTTCACCACCACCCCGCTTTCTGACAGCTTTTGAGGTGCAAGAAGGGAGAAAAAGCCTTGGACCAGAGATTCCTGCCTACCCATGTGGGCTCCTCTATCAGTGAAGGGATCAGGAACGTGGGGTGGCCAAGCAATGTGGTCTCTGGAGCACATTTGGACTTGGTGCAGCACACCATGGTTGAGTGCTGGAGCCACGTGTGGGAGCCAAAACCACAAGGCAGTAGACAGCAGAATGGAAAGGCTCCCGTAAAATTAATTGCTCCAAGGAGACAGCTCATGCGAACGGTTCTGCCCCTGCAGAAAGCCATGTCAAGGCAGGCCCAGAGACAGCAACGAGCCTGGCAGAGATGAGCGGGGGGTTGCTAAGCCCCCACTGGGGCACTAGTCCAAGAGGCAGATATGAGATGGCAAAATCAAGAGGAGGGAAAGGACCAGGGCAGGGGAACAGTGAGTGGGTACAAGGGGTCTATTACATGTCCTGACAGTGAAACCTAATGACCTGAGCACAGCAAAGACCATGAACCAGCAAGAGCACAGCCATTCAGGGTACAACACAACCAACCTAAACGATTCTACGATTCTGTGATTCAGGGTACAACACAAGGGGCAAAACAGAAGGCAGAGAAGTGGTTCAGGCTTGAGCCGCGGGGGACGTGATCCTCTTTGCCCAGTCTTCATTTGGACAGTCTTTACCCTGCTATTTATTTCCCTCACTGGGTATCGTTCACGCGCCTGCCGGTGCAGCTAGGGCATGAGTGCCTGGGTCTGTCCCACGGCAGGAGTGTTCGTGTCTGCGTGCTCAGGAGTATCAGGGGGAGGTACATTGGAGAGAGGGCCAGGTGTGCTGCGAACACCCACAAGACGGGACAGAAGTGACATGTGTGAGTCGGGACCACACTTACTGCGTGTGTTACAGCACAGCTGTGCACTGGAAGAAAACCAGAGCACTTGCACACATGGTCTGTAAACGTGCAAATACACGTGCTGCCTACAAGTCACTGCGCTGCTACAGAGACCAAGGCAGCACTGGAACCACTCTCCTGCGGTAGCTGCTGGCTGAGGTGGCAGAGGCATACCAGATCTCCTGAAACAACAGAAGAAATCAGGTGGAGCCTTCAGAAATAGAGAACATGAAAGGCACTTGGAGGTGACTAAGCAAGAGAGGCTAGGAGGAGGCAGGAGTGAGACCTGCAATCTACATGGATTACAGCCAATTCTGCGTGACCCAGCACAGCTCAGGCCTGCGCTGCAGACATACACCCACCCAGCAACTTGGCATTCAGAACTGAGCAGAAAATAAAAGTGAAGACCAGCAAGCTTTCCTGCTTGCCCGTAGCAACGTGCAATTTCATCACCACATCACACAGCAGAGCTGAACCTGAGACCTGCAGGTCCCTGCCACTGGTTCCGAGAGCTCCCTGCCTCCTAACAGCATTCCAGCAGGGCAGAGCAACAAGGGCTTTGTTTAGAGCTTCTGGCTGCATGAAGCAAGTCAAACACAGGTAGCCACAGCTCTGTGCTTTCCTCTCCGCTGGAAGAAGCACAAGCCGCTTACTTGGCTGGCAAGCTGTAGCGAGAGATCTTGGCAACGTGATTGCTGCCTCCCAGGAGGAAATCATCATTTCTCCCCTCCGCTCCTCACCAGTCTGAGGAGCGTCACTCGCTTCCCGAATGTTGCAACAAACAGGCGTGAAAGCTTCTGACCCTGGCAGGGCAGGGATCAATGGCCAAAGGGCATTGCTCCCAAGTGGTAAACAAGGTCACATGCGCTAGCACCCTGGGAGGAGAATTTGGAATTCACCATGAGGGAACCGATGCAAGCAAAATCCCGCTACTGCCAGAACTACCTGCATGGGGGAACACATGGGTGAAAACCAGCACAGAACACCTGCTCAAAAGAGAAGAACATCAAAGGAGAGTCAAGAGCCATGCCCCTGTCAAACTGCACTCTTGACTGTACCCTGCAGCTCTGGGGCACCAAGAGAGCTGGGCATAACGTTAACATCCTTTAAACGCCGGGTTGACCCATCATACATTCCCTGGAAATAGCTGTGTTAATTAGGAGGCTCTGCAGGAAGAGCTGCGGCTTGGCACCAGAATGTTCTTCCTGGAGGGTAGAAAGCATTGGTTGGCAAGAACTGGTTAACAAAAGCACCACTTACGCTGGTGGGCAGGTATGTATTTTGGAGCTAAAGGGATTGTCTGTGGGTGGAGCAGGCGGCTAATCCTTCACACAGGCAAATACCATCACAGTTACCTCTACTTAACACTCAGCCTTGCATAAGGTGGAAACAAATTCCTCCCATTCAGATTTTGTCAGCAGAAAGAATCCATTAAAAAAAAATCTAGACAAAGGATCCCACTACATCAGGAGTGGGGCAATGCTTATAAAGTCACTGGACACTCCATCGTCCTTCCCTTCAGGGTTAGGTTTTCAATTCCCTCATCTTTCTTCCTTCATTCCGTATAAACATGCCATCCATGCCAGAGGTGGGGCTGCGGAGATTTGTTACCAGCAAATCCCCGCGTTACGCAAGCAAGCAGCCGCTGTTTTCAAGCGGGTTCCTTGCTTTACAGCAAAAGAAGATCGGCTGTTTGGCAAGATGCCAAGTGAAGGTTTCTCGCTTTCGGAGGCATTCGGAGAGAAGGGGCATCCATTAGCACCTCCCTGCCTTCTGAACTGTCAGGCCTTTGCTTCTGAAGAGCTGAGGAGTAACTCTGCAGACCTCATATAATCGCTGCTCCTGCGCTCTACTTGAGTCTAGGCAACAAGAGAGGACACATGGCAGTATCCTGTTGTCACCTTCTAGCCGACATGTGGTCAGCAGACACGGATCAGTCATGCAAAAAAAAGTGTTTTGAAGGGATCGATATGGGAGCAAAATGTCACCATGGAGTCCCAGCGCTGCCTATTTAAATGCTTGGCTTTTCCAGGAGAAAAACAGCTGGTCAGACTTCCCTGTCTTACACTGAGATGCTGACAGGAGACATCCGCTTCAAGAGTTCCCTGCACGCTCAGCTGGGACCTGAACACATGCCACATGCCTGATATACACGGGACTTGGAACTTGTAGAGCATAAAGGATTTTAATGGCCAAAAAAGATCATGTCCTGTCTTGGTTAGCTATGTTTGAAATTCCGTGTTTGTCTTCCCTTCTCACTGTTTGGCCACGCAAGGAAAAAAAGTTCTACTACGAGTGGAGCCAGGTTTGGGGGCTGAAGAACGCAGCCTGCGCTTCCCTGTGGCCCCTTGGGATCACAGTGAGAGGCAGGAGAAAGGCACCACCTCTCCCAGAGAGAGGTATCCACCGCCCCAGCCAGATGTTTTATGCTTAAAAACGGGTCAGAGACGCCTGTGCCATGGGCGGCAGCCAGATCCCCTGCCTATTTAAGGAGCTGAGCCCCACCAAGCAAAATATACCTGCGTGACTAAAAGCCCAAACTGCCTATGCAGGTTCCAGCTCGTCCATGCCACAGATTACAGGCTGTAGGTTGAGAAATGGCCCTTCAGACAAATTCCTCTGGCAGGAAGGAAGCTGGGTTGCCATCTCTTACGATCTTTTCAGGAGTTTCACCAGCTCTGCTGTTTTATTTAGAGCCTCAAGGGTCCTGGAGCCATGGAATTATGGCAGGTACCGAGCTGTGCTTCAGAGATCAGTAAGCGCAGGGGCCTCTACAAAGTGCGTATGGATGGGCCCCATCTTTATTTTTCACTTGCTGCACCCACAGGGACGGCAACATCCCCATCATTTTCTGCCGATACTTGTCCAGAGTAACTAGGTAACGACAACGTAAGATTAATTTATGAAAGCCCAAACTATCAAATGGTCGCACTTTACACTGACCCAACAGAGATCTGAATCTGGACCCAAAGAGGAAAGTGGTGGAACCGGACATGCAATACCCTGCCTTGACCCTGTGCCTTAGTGCACTAAGTCATTAGCCATTGCCCTGAAAAAGCTAATCATTCCTGAGCATGCAGAAGCACCGCTGGCCACCCAGTAGCTTCCTCGCTTTGTCCACTGCAGCTGAGAATAAAGTCACAATCGTTCACGTTCAGTCAAGTCCCTAGGAAACAGAGTTACGAACGCGCATCCCTACCTCTCAAACACTTCCTCTCATTGCGTGACCACGGCGCACCACCACAGCACCTCCGGACAAGAGCTAGCCCATGCCCAGGAGTCCTGCCAGGCTGGCAGTTTGCTCAAGGTTGCTTTAGGGAGCACCTGGGAGGAGCCGAGGAGGCCCCCACATCAAAGCTGCTGGGGAACGGGCACCTTGCCACCCGCGGGTTCATTTCCTCCAAGGGTGCTCAGCAGCGCGCAAGCCAAAGTCAGCACCCCAACAACACAACACACACGACTTTGCCCCCAGAGCAAGACAAAATCCTTCTGGAAAGCCACGGGTTGCTTTTTCACATACTCTGAAGGTCTCAGCATTGTTTTTAGCTGGGCTGGGGAACCGCCACATGCACTTCCCATGGCAGCAGAAATGCATGACAATAGGAATAACCGCTGCCTGTGCGGACATCGAGCGCTGTGACAATGCCAGAGGCAGCGGTACCGGTCCTGAACCGCCCTGCGTGACTGAGGGACAGGATCAGTACCCTGTAAGGGGACCCGAGCAGTAGCCACAGTCTGCTCTGCACAGCAGCAGCAGAATCAGACCCCAGCAGGCTGGGCTGATGTCTGAGTCTGAGGACCTCCTGTCCAGACAGACAAGAGGTTCGCTTCTCCTTTCACACCGGTTTACATTTCCCAGGTGCAGTGAAAACCAGATGCAGCCAGCAGTAGCCCTGCAGCCAAAGAACAGAACCCTTTTCTACTTGTGAACACAAGGCAAAACAAAAGTAATTGCACCAGCTTAGCCATCAGCATGCGGGCTGCCTTCTGCCCAGCACCACAGCGCAGGAACCAGAAACGAGACGTTCATCTCCTCCGCGTCCCCTTCCCGGCGGTCAGTTCCGCGAGACTGATCCATAAGCATTTTCCCTGAACAGCACCCAGAGCATTTTCAAGAGGAAATATAATGATTGAATTACAGAGATTAGCAAGAGAACAAGACAGGGATAGCACCAATCACTGCTTTTACTTCTCTTAACCGATGTGCCTCAGTGCATAGGTTAACAGAGAGGAGTCAGGACTTTTTCCATACGATTGCACTAAACTCCGCAAGTTTCTGAAACAGTTTGCTTTCCGCCATTGGAAACAAGCGAGACAAAATTTCTTTTTAATACGGTAACTTTAGGAAGGTTTGTTTGTTTTGCCCTTGTGCCAGCAAAGTAACATACAAGAATAACTATAAACCTAAAGCAGCAATATAACCGCAGCTTTTGTTCTGAAAAGGTTTTATGAGAAGCTCGAAGGACCAGGAGGTATTAAATGGGGGAAAGCAGTAAGGGAATGCCTTGCCTTTTCAGGCACTCACCTCTCTCAGGTGTGTTCTGTCCCACAGCAAACTGCAGCCACAGACCAAGAGAAAGCACTGTCTTGGCCAACATAGCAAAGTCTGGTCCTGGGCAAGCTACCTTAGATCCAACAGCTCGGCTCTGTGAAGGCAGATGAAAGGCTTAAGATCAGTCATATTACGTGCAAGGATCCACCAGATCCCAGGGTGCCACTTTTACGCTGCTCATGCCTTGAGATCCGACTGCTTCTTTATGGGTGTTTTGCTGGGCTGTGGTGGAAGCTCTGGCTTCTGTAGGCAATTTTCCTTCCCTCCCCCCCCCCTTTAAAGTCATAAATCCATCTTGACAGAAATAGCTGGAGGAGAGGCACAAACAGCACCCCTGCTGCTGTTCCTCTCCCGAGCTAAACTTGCCCCAGGAGCGTGGATTCAATTGCAGGCGGTCTGCGTGCAGCTGGGCTGGTTTGAAAAATATATCCCTATAGATAAAACTTTGGCCCTGCAAGACAGTGGCAGCAGTCCAAGTACCGGGAGGGGGGGGAAAGAGGCTCAGAGAAATCCAAAGCTGCTCTGCTCTGGAATGAGCTAGAAGAAGGAAAACCACGTATATAGAGGAAAGAAAAAGTAGAAAGGCTGGGGAGCGTGCCCTGCCCTGGGAATATTGGCTAATCTTCTGGGAGGAGGCAGCGGAGCATTCCCCCAGGTCCTAGCGCTACCCAGCCTCTGCGCCCTCCCCTGCGCTGCCCGGGGGCCAAAGCCCGGGGGTGGGAACAGCCCCCGCGCCTCGCTGCTCTACCCCCGAGCAGAGCTGGTGCAAAGTCACCGAGAAACGCAGAGCCTGCGGGAAGCCACCGCCTCCGAGGCGGGGAGCGTCCGCCACCCAGAAAAGGGCACGAGGGGATGCTCGCTGCGCGCGACGGCCTGCTGCGCGCCCGCCGATCGTCTCCCGTCGGCGGGGCGTTAAATACATCCTCCAGCCTGCGACTTCTGAGTCAAAGGAGACTCACATGCCCATATATAAACCTGTGACAAATATCTTACCGGATGGCAGGGCGGAAGAGTTTGGCAGAGAGCGTACAGCAAAGACCCCAGGTTCAACGGCCGCTGGCATGCCGCCTATTTCCCCGGCGTGCAGGAGAGCTTTGCCAGACCAAAACGCAGAGCAAACCTAGTTTCCCTTCTCATGGTTGTCCATGCATCTGCTTTTGGCTCCTACTCGTCAGGCAGAGGCGACAAGAGTCCCTTTCTCTTTTTTCACTTTAGGTTTTAACATGTGCTACTTCTGGACAGGTCCAAGAGGTCACTACTAGAGAAAAGCTGGAAAGTTACACCTAATTATGAAGAGACCAATCAATCATCCCCTCCCTTAACGTGGGGAGTGGCCAACAAGACAGGCTACAAAGTAGCAAAGGAGGAATGTTTAGAAGCCTGTGGGATATCTGAAACTGGCGAGTAATATTTCCTCCAATTCAGTTTTCTCTCCCCTGGGAACTGTAAAAAAAAAAAAAAAAAAAAGTGAACAGGAGTTAGGAGCCAAGGAGCTGTGCAGGGTGGGAAAAAAGTTGTATCCAAACTCATCAACCAAATGGAAAGTCAGAATATGCCCAAGAAATCAGATCCAAATGAGAAACCATGGATTCAATCGGGTAGTTAAACTTCCCGGGCAGGTGTTTGTGTCTCCCCTCCCAGTTTGGTACCCAGCTGCATCACGAAGGAGCTCTGCGGTGTCAGGTTGTAGGATACCTCAGCCCCACGTAGCATAACCCCATACGAGCCACAGCCTCACCCACTGATTCATGCAGGCTGGAATACGCATTTTCCCAGGTACTCAAGAGAGAACTCGATACCACCGCTCTCATACCAAGAGCATGTGACTTGTGAGAGCCCCGCAGAGATGGCATTTGGATCCTTTGGTGAGCACATGCTGTTGCTGTCTGGTTTCCCTGACACACAGGGCAGGGTTTCTTAACGTTACAGCCCGCTGCGGCAAGTCTGGATATTAGCTGCCGAGTTACGTCTGACCATAGGCACCGCGGGCTCGATCGTTGCCTCTTGAAATCGAGAGCAGACTTTTTCCTCTGACTCAGCGTGGTTCAGGCCTGCCCCTGTCAGAGCTGTGCTTATTTAACAGCACTCATGGCGAAGTCAGTAGGAAGCGCAGGTGCTCTAGCAGCGAAGGTGCCAGTCTGCAGTCTCATTTGGCAAGCAAGCTCCCAGGGAAAAATTACACTGGGGTCTAATTCACCAATCTGAGCAAATTCATCGATTCTCATTGCACAGATTCAGTCGGTTCCATCGCTGATGTATTGACCGTGATGGCAGCCAAGAAGGCAGGCAGCTTTCCAAACCACTGTTGAGTGAAGTACTTGCTCAGTCGCGTCCTTGTTCTCTGCTGGCGAATGCGTCCTCTTGCTGGTCTCACACTGGTTGTATTCTGGGCCTGGCACATGGACGGGATGGGCTGGAAGAAGCAAGCGTTGCCCCACTGCAAACCATCTGCTTCTCATCAGCTAACCCAGACATCCGTCTGCTCCTGTCCTGTCCTCCTCCTGCCCCGTTACCCAATGACCTGTCCAGGGAAAATACTGCAAAGACGGCGGGCGAGAATCGCTGCGGGTCTGGCTCCCAGATGCGTGTTCGGAGCCACTTGACTAGGGCTGCTGGGTGTACAGAGATTATTTCCTCCCATTACTCCCCAAGGAATTCTTTCCATGGAAGCGTTGTTCATCTTAGAATAATTCCCTTTTTTGTCAGTTTGTCAATGTAAATGCCATTCTGTCTCACACCCTGCAGCCTGGGGAGATTTCAGCCTTTATCTGCCTGGAAGTCCTGCTTAGATGGAAGCAGGAAAACACAGCCTGGAAAATAATTAGATCTTACAAAACTTTGTTTTATTTTTAAACTTTACTGTAATTGACAGATCCTGTTTCCAGTAAGACTGGTGCATGCACATGCCGATTCTTTCCTAGTTGCATCCTGCACTCTGAAGCCAGCAGTATCACTCCAGATTTGCTTCTGTTGAAATGTGGTCAGAATCTGGCTCAGAATCTGGCTGCAGATCTCAGCTTCGGCGCAGCTCCCTATCACTTGCTAAGCTCGTGTTCTCCACCTGTCATCAACTTGACTGAAATTCACTCAGGATGATCGTCTTCTTACCATGCCAAGTTACAGAATAGCTCAGGAACAATGAACAATTGTAAAAAGAAAAACAAAACCAGATGAAAATCACCACCAACCAATCTACCGTGTTTTGGTTGTGATATGCCACTCAGACATGTACGCACATATATCGTACAGCACAGACCTCCAGCGCTACACTTCAGCGTTCTGCACACGGGGAGGCTGCGGTGGTGCGCTGCAGCTGCTGTGACATTCTGTCGATGTAAACAACATGCAATTTCTGCAGAGATGCAACATCCTCTCCGAGAAAAATTACCCCACAGCTGGAACAAGCAGGCTTTTGGGAACACAGGCTTTTTTCAGCTCTACGTAAAAGTTTTTGTTTGGAGGGGCTATCTATATATGGCAGTTTGGAAATTCCCCGTTTGGAAAAGCAGCAAAGCGGCTCTGCAGCACGGGAAGAACGCTGCGGGTAAAAGCTCCCCCTCGAACTCCAGGGAAGGCTTGTGCAGCCCAGCACGGGTGGGCAGTCGCTCAAGGTGCCAGCAATCCGACTCGACTGCACGCAGCGGGGTCTTGGGCTGCGAGGCGAGACCTCTGCCAGCTCGTTCATGCCGAGACATCAGCTCGGTTCCGACACAGAGGATGCAGAGAGCAGCCGAATCGCCAGCATTCACAGCTGGCTCCAGGTTTTCCCCCAAACACTGACCACACATGGCTCAACCCGACTGCCCTGCTATGTCACGCTTAACTTTTAAAGAGCCACAGGCTGCATGGCTGGAGGGCATGAACTTGAACTCCACTGACTCCAGAAATGCCATTCTGACTTACAGCAGAGAGGATCAGGCCCCGTGCTGCCAGTTCTCACTTAACAGTGTGTCATGCAGTCTTCAGCCTCAAGTCAGCTCTTATTTTTGTTTGACTTGGAAGACAAACTACAAAAATAGATGTGTTTACTCCCTGCATTCACCAGTTTTGTTTTTCTCAAAAGTTCCCCAGTGACTAGGAATGACTCCACAGTGAGGTAAGGTCTAGCTTATAGATGATCCCTTTCATCCCAAAGCACCCTAAAAAGTCACCCAGCACAAAAATACAGCCACTTCTGGGGTGAAGTGCACTAGCTTTTCAACTGCTTGCAGCAGTATTACACTAAAGTTTAGGATACGTGAAAAAATTAGCAGGACAGATCTACTCGGGAAGAATGCAACCACCCAAATTAGAGTAGTGTCAATATCCTGGAAAGGCCACTTCCCATCCTAATATTGAAGAACTGGCTGCAGAGTTATCAGGACCCTCTTTAACATAGTCTGGTAACAACCAGCAATAAGAAAATACTTCTTCAGAAACAGTGCCATGGGTCGGCACTCCCGCTGTTTCCCCTCCAGCATAGTGTCATGCCAGGACACAGTGTCCTAGTTTTCTCTCCTGTATACAGCAGCCTATTTCAAAATGAAGGATTTTATGGAAATAACACATAGGTAGACACAAGCATGTCAGATGTCTAACGCACTGTCGTGGTTCAGCCCCAGGCAGCAGCTCAGCACCATGCAGCCGCTCGCTCACTGCCCCTGCCCCGGTGGGATGGGGGAGAGAGTCGGAGGAGTAAGAGTGAGAAACACTCCTGGGGTGAGATAAGAACAGTTTAATAATGGAAATAAAGTAAAATAGTAATGATAATAATAACAATAATAATATCCAAAGCAAGTGATGCACAATGCAATTGCTCACCACCCACTGACTGATACCCAGCCAGCTCCCGAGCAGCGATCGCTGCTCCCCAGCCAACCCCCCCAGTTTCTATACTGCCCATGACGCCGTATGGTATGGAATAGCCCTTGGGCAGTTTGGATCAGCTATTCTTGCTGTGCCTCCTCCCAGTTTCTTGTGCACCTGGCAGAGCATGGGAAGCTGAAAAGTCCTTGACTGCCATAAGCAGTACTTAGCAACAACTAAAAACATCAGCGTGTTATCAACATTCTTCTCCTACTAAATCCAAAACAGAGCACTGTGCCTGCTACTAGGAAGAAAATTAACTCTATCCCAGCCGAAACCAGGACATGCACAGAGAGCAATGTGGTTCTCGAAGCAATTGCCTGCTCGTGCT